GGGGGGGGGGGGGGGGGGCAACATGAGAACTTCAGAGGAGACTTCAGTAACTTTTGCATTCTGTTTCTTTCACTCACTTCACATTCCCTTTGGGACACAACATTTCTCGAGGGGTGGGACGATCACTACCCATGAGGGACTAACCATTATCCCATCATGCACGGGCGTGATTGCGTTTTGGGGGACCCATGTTACGAGTAGATTTGTTCCCATGCTTTTAACCATCCTCCATTTTAAACAATTTCAGTGATTTTCTTCTGTCGTTCAGCACAATCATAGCATGCGTTATCTTTCATGTCCGTTCTACAGCTCAGTACTGAATACATTATTCCTTTCTTGCGGTGGCAGAGGTTGAAATCCACAATTAATATCGACACCAGTATCAAAGATAGAACAAGCGCGACCAGGAATACTTTCGGTGAAGCAATATAAATCAATACACCGCTTTCTGACTCTGAAATGAAATTGGAAAAGTAATGTTAGGTTATAGTTGCTAAGCATTAATCTCAGGAATGATACAGTATAAAAACTAATCTAAACTAACTTTATTTATGCTGGATAGTTTTATCAGTTCTAAACCACTGAACCTGTTTCCAGTTGATATCCAGTTGCTGCACCCACAGAATTGTCAACAATGTTGTTACATCATTGGTCAGTTGTAACAATGTTGTTACATCATTGCTCAGTTGTAACAATGTTGTTACATCATTGGTCTGGCGTAACAATGTTGTTACATCATTGCTCGACTTTTTCTCAGGGTGCAGCATGCAATTTTGTCCAAGCCTGTCGATATCAACCGGGAACAGGTTGTTCGTTTTTACGCGTTATAATTAAATTTTATTGAAAAGTAGCGTATTCACATTCTAAAACATGGTGTTTACCTGAATCCAGCGTCTCTTTAATCTTTGAAGATGATGGATACGTTGTATTTAGGTTGTAAGATGATGGATACGTTGTATTTAGGTTGTTAACACTCGCCAGGCTGGGCTTCGTCACTCTTGATTGTTTTTGAGATTGTCTTTGGGTTGACTTTGTATACGGCCAACAATCCGTGTCGGTTTTGATCGATATATGTTTATCAGCGCCCGAGAACGGCATCGTTTTCATGTCCTTATTCTTTCTGGTAGCAATACAGCCAGGCAAGCATTGATTAAAGGAGATATACCGCTGATCTTGGACAATCGCGGTCAGTCCGCTATAGGGATTAAGCTTATGGCGCGGTTGAGGCTTGCTACAGAATGATGATGGGCTGCAATTTCTCAGATTCTCTGGATTGTTAGGTAGTTTTGCCTTGAATTCAGTTTCGTTCACTAAATAGAACAAAATTTATAGTTCACTTCTCTGCCAGGTTAATATATATTATATTTTATTTTATTTCACGTTGTAACAATGTTGTTGTGAAGCCGATATCAGGAGGTGTTCGCACTGCTTGTTCCCAGTTGTTGTACGTCTTGAACAAGTTGTTGTCATTTTGTTACAAGGTTGATGACGGTAACAAACTAACTGCAATTAGTTGGAATAAATCAAAACGCTTACCTTCGCTAGAAACAAGATCAGTCTTGTGCAATTTGTTAATCTCAATATTCTGTGTAACATCATGACATTTGCACGAAATATGGTCGTACACGACATATTTATAAAATTTTGTTTGATTGTTGATATCTGCTGCTACAATTTCTATTTCTTTCTGTGTTAAAGCAACGGGCATTTCAATGGAACTGTGCCAACAAGGGATGATGCAGCGATGTACTTTGATAAAGTACGGTTCTCTTGACTCAGGCGTTGTAAAATCTTCGTTGTAAATTGACACGACTTCCTCATACAAACCACCATCTGAGTCTAAAAATTAAAATTTAGAAATTTGTTACCTAGGCAGTTTCCATGCATTACTCATGATTGACCATTACACAATATTGGAAATATAGATAACAGTGGTCAGTATATGTGTCTAGCGAGGTTCGATTCCTGCAACATATAGAGTCGTCTGTATAATTTTACCTCGTATGTGAGAAGAATACTTCCAGTGTGAGGGTTTTTATAGATGGTATATAATATATGGAAAATTCGAGGGCAAGGTTATATACAATTTTCACACCTAACCAGGGCAGCTGCGGAAAATGCAATTATAATCCCTCTTGTAGGAATCGAACCTGGGGCCCTGCTGTTCTGGTGCAGCGCTCTAACCAAGTGAGCTACAGAGTCCAGTTGACAAGAATTAACTACAAGTTCATGTGTTGTTATCCTTACTGGACCTCTGCCAGGTGATCTCGAGTTCGTATTTTAGCCAATCAGCGCTCAGAAAGGGTTGTCCGAATAGAAATCCATTTTGATGTATTCAGTCAATTATATCTTTCGTTATTCTTTATGAAACTAGTTGAAATTTTGTAATTATGTTTGGTTATGAGAACTATAGCTCTGACAAAAATATGGAATCGAAATAAAGTATATTACAGGAGATATTCCGTTGTTTTAATCATAAAATGGATTTCTATTTGACAACTAGTGCCAGTACTTTTCCGCGTATCAAGATCATCTGGTGGGGGAGATGGAGCTATCCAGTGTGGATAAAGTTAGTTCAGGTTTTTCTCTGTATAGTAACACTGCATGATGTCTGGACCATTACGGGTGGTTTCCAGAACAGCAGTTTCGAATTGCTACAGAGTTATGCAGTAAAGTTAATTTGTAAGCGGTCTGGTATTATTTATTGTTAACTCTGCACTTACTTTCACCTGGCCTGTATTCCTGGCCGTTCACAAAACCTTGCAAAAGTAAAGCCATCACGAAATACTGTCCAGCAATATATTTCAAGTTCACAATGCTACCAAAATCTAAAAGATGAAAAAGCTGTTAGTATCAATGATTGCATATGTATTTGTACCCTCTCAACGCCTTGTTCGTAGAGTAAATGCATTCAACGTTAAAATGTCACATAATATATAATCAGATATATATTTGAAGAACGAGAAAGCGTTTATCACCGGCCTATAAATGACGAATGAAAATATTTACAATCAAAAGAATTAACATTATTTTCTCATTCTGAATAACTGCCTGTTGACCAGCGTCTGCTGTACGATAGTGCTTAGTAAAACCCACCTACTGTATATCAGTAAAACTATCGTTATCGCGTAGGTTCATTTATTGCATGAAATAAAAACGTCCGGTAAATCATACTTCGTGACACGAACGAAGTAATGCCCTTCCTCTGCCTTACGTCATAAGATCAGAGAATTATTACGGCCTGCGTAGGAGGTACATGTTTAAGCCTGCTTGGCTATCTTCGTGCTGGACACAGCGAGAGTTGACTGCATGGGTAGCGGTTAAATAACGTACATAGTCCCAGTTCATGGAAATGAACTACAATGCCACGAAATATATAAGCACATTGTAGATACTTCTACATGCTATGACAAAGCATTTAGTAGTCTTGTATTTGGAGGAAAATAAATAGAATTGAGAGATGTAGTTGAATTTTCATGCTCGTGTCAACATCTCTGAAGTTGACCACCATACTGCCCAGTTGCAAAATACCAGCACTGGTAATTAATGGTATCAAATTGTTACAGTTATATTTTTCACTTACCCATTCTCTATTTTTGAAACAGATTTCTTGATTTGAAGAGATTTCAAAGATTCTCAAGATCGAGTCGAAGGTAAGTTGTTACTTCACGTATCTTTATGTTACTTTACTGTAAGCGAGTTTGTTCAATTGTGCATGCTTGCTAGCTATCGCCTGCTTTTATTTAAGGCTACTCATGGGAAGTTTATTAAATTAAGCTTGCATGAGGGAAATGACTGTGGTCAACCACACAGAGTTATAGAGTTTAATGAACCTATCCAAAAATTTTCAGAGTCCCAGCACCTTCCAACATTCTCAATAAAAATATTTTCATTCTGTAATAAGCTGCGCTTAAAAGCGGTGCTTTGTTTGTATAATGCGTGGGCTCAAGTAGTCGACATTCTGCGGAAACTTGTGCCAAAGAAAGTGGTCGAAAGTATACATTTAATTGCTCTGACCTCGAATGGTAGTGTAGCGGTTATCACTACACTTTCATTACTTGCATAGTTGAGGCCAGGAAAAAGATTTTTTCCCATCACGTATAAGTCATCCATGTAAGGCTTCTCTTTACAAAATTCTCTGTATAGCAGGCAAATGTGTAGAACTTAAGTTGAAATTCATTGCATATTATTGGGCTGGATGTATATAACATTGGCGAAACCAGGCCCCTCGTCTGGAAATTAGCGTCGTGGGTGGGAATAACACGTTCAATGTTGCATGTACTATAGTTAATATAAAATCCATCGCTTTTGTGTTCGCTATTATATAAAGATGCTTTGTATTTACTAGTATCTATCGCACACTTCCAGACAAAGGCCCTTTGGCCTTTGCTTGCAACTTACTACTAGGTGGCTATTGTATAATGAAAACATTAGATATGTTTTTGTGAAAGATTTACAACAGAAAGACAAGTTCAATAAAAGAGTGTTGTAGTTTTCTCCAAGCGAGAACGGGCTTGCCCTACATTAGCGTACTGTGAGGCTGATGTGGGTGTACATGTATACTCCAATAACAAGCGTGGGCGGCAAGAATATTTGTCATTCTTCGGTTTGTGGAGAAATTGTGAGATAACTATAAAATTTTAGTCATTGTGTTTGCGAGATTGATGCCAAAACTGGTCTCAGATGGAGGACATGGCATTTCTAAGCTTTTGAAAATCAAACAAATTCTGGATTTCGGCGCTTGGCCTGTATTTAAATTCTTAGTTATGGGCATGTTGTCATGCAGACATGTTAATTGATATTAAATGCTGAATGAGTGGGATACGCCTCCGCAGACATCGTGAGAAGTTAGGGTTTATAGGAGGGGTAGCCTGCGTAGCAATCGCTTTATTTTATTGAAGGTATTGAGGATTGAATAAATGGCGGATTAGAAAAAATGGGTGAAGAAAAAAAGGGCGAGAAAAAGTTTTTCGCCCATTTTTTCTAACCCACCATTTATTCAAAAATCCTCAAAACATTCAATAAAATAAAGCGACTGCTACGCAGGCTATAGGAGGGGCTGCTCTGCCGTCTTCGAGTTGGGCCATGGCCTTATTCGATATATAATCTTGAACAGTCTGTGCCAGTGTTGGTAGTGGCAATAATAACAAGCTTTCGTTAGTGGGGATGCAACTACCTGAAAAATATAAGGAGAATTTCGACGTTTCGAGCGAAGGCCCTGGAATTACTAGCCAAAGTAACTCCAGACGAAGGGCCTTCGCTCGAAACGTCGAAATTCTCCTTATATTTTTCAGGTAGTTGTGCATCCCTACTAACGAAAGCTTGTTGACGATATAATCGCAGCCGAGCGTTTCAGATATGATAAAACGCGAGTTCGAGTGTTTTGAATAGCTTTAAATACGACTACAAAAGAACACTAATTAGGATGAACAATTATAATATTATAAAGAATACTAATGAGTAATGAAGATGAGTTTTGTCAGATTAAAGTCACTCCACGTGACATATTATCATGACTGACATGATTTGCCACAAGGTTTTTGAATTTTTAATGAGTATTTTAGTTAATTTACCAACTTGTTTTATTATGTGTTATATGCTACATGTTTATATTGCTTTTCGTTCACGGTATAATTTACAGGTACTATATTTATTACTAATATCAAATGCCGTCCGTATGTAAGCCCCTCCCGTATATTATCCCTCCCCCCGTATATAAGCCCTCCCCCCGTATATAAGCCCTCGTGTATAAGCCCATCAAAGATGCTTATATATCGGCGCAAGGCTTATATTCGGACGTTTACGGTATGTTAGAAAATCACTTGTAAATTGTTACGTCACGTATCTTTATAAATGTCACTTTATACTGTAAGCGAATTTGTTCAATTGTGCGCTTTTTCTAGCTATATATTGCCTGCTTTTATTTAAGGCTACTCATGGAAGTTTATTAAATTAAACTTGCATCAGGAAAATGATTGTGGTCATAACCACACAGAGTTATAGAGTTTATTTGTGACCTATAGAAACATTTTCGGAGTCGCCATGGAGCACCTTCGAAAACATTCTCAATAACAAAAGATTCTCATTGTAATAAGCTGCGCTTAAAGGCGGTTCTTTGTTTGTAAATGGGTGGGCTCTGTATATACTGTGTATATAGTGGCCACTGTAAACATTGAATGACACCTAATGTCAAAATCTATGTTTGCTTTGTTTCAGTGCATGTTTTGAGGTTTTTGGGCACTCTGCATTACACTATACTGTGACTTTAATATAGGAAGAGGAGGGGCACCATGCAATGGACTATACGTCGTCCAGTTTGTGCCTTGTCCGTTTGAGTACATCACTTTTTTTAATTACATGTTTAGATGGATATTCGCATATATATTTTGAGAGTTAATTTATACTCAATAAAATTTAACAAACAAACAAAAAATGTCTGTGAACAAATTAGCGCTAAATTATTCCGTTTATCAACCTGTCAGTATTTCCGTTTGTCCTTAGCCACTTCAAACAGTTTCTTATTATAACATGTTTCGGAAGTAGCTACTTGAATAATTTAGAGGTGCGGTTAATTAAGTGCCGTAACATTTTGCGCGAAAGATCGAGAAACATCGGTGGAAAGCATTGATATTAATAGCGCAGCTTGGCTGTAATGCCAAAGTTCTTAGTCAATTTCTATATTAACAACCCCCATTTAAATTCTAACCTTGATATCTGATACTATTGGGCCTGTTTGCATGGAGGTATGGTAACCCTAGCGGAAGAGTTACCCTAGCGGAAGAGTTACCCTAGTAAGCGGGTTAGCCCATTCTATTGTGTTTGCGCGTTGCGTTTACATGCGCGCTAGGGTTATCCTAAAGATTACGGGGGACATTTTAACCCCTAGATTAACAAAATAGAGGTTCGATGAGTGTTCCAACTATGTTCTAACTTAAATACAATCGGTACGAAGCATTCTAAGCGACCAAGGTCAAGTGACCCAACTCTCATCCTCTCTTGTTTGATCCGCGCATCAATCCTAACACTAATCCAGCAATTTTAATTCAGCAGTTTTCACTTCGAAATTGGGAACCTTGACACAAAAAGAAAACACCTTGTATAAAATTATTGAAAATTTATTTAAAGTACATCTTATTTTGACAACTTCACAACGCAACAGCATAATTTGGTACAATAAGACAATTGTCATAACATAATATACGAATTATAACATCAAATTGCTCTCATTAATTTACAAATAGCTTGGTATTGTTGAAATAACCACATTAACTATAATAAGATCTGTACTAATTGTCCTATAAGGTCATATTACACCAGGCATTTTTTGCTGCTACCGTCAACGCAATTTCTGACATAGACTGCATGATGTTATCTAAAACGGAGTCTCAGCGAAATTGTGAGCATGGCTCAAAGTTAACCCTGTGGCATTTTTCATCCTATTTCTTTCATTTTCTCATTTTTCATCTATTCGAAATTGGGTTGCAAGTTGCAACAAAAATTCCCTCGTGTTATGATATGGCCTTTAGTAAATTCTAAAGCTAAAATTACTTCTTGCAAAATTTAAATTGAGTTTAATACCATTAGTTATTTTAATAAGCAAAACATATTGTCTAAATTGACACAACATTCATTCTTTGGCGACTTTCTTTCCGTCTCTTTTCGATTGTCAGGGCATAATTTGTTGAGGAGGTCTCTCGAGAAATCCCAATATGCCTTTCCTTCCTTTACTCGCGGCTTATAATTTTCCTGTCTAAAAGGGAGGGGGTGACTCAGGGTAGGACGGGATCCGTATTCCATACCAGGACCTTTGCCTGGCTGGATATGTAGACCCTGATGCCTGAGGTTCTAAATCGGAGACCAACATGAGGGGGATACCAAGATACAACATTCTCACAACTTTCCCTTGGTGTAAAATTCTTGGGCAGCCTGACACTTTCAAAAGTGAGGGATAAGGGGCAGCATTCACACACGCTCCATACTTTCTTTTCCTTACTCTTCCTGGGGGTCTGGTTTTCTGTGGGGTGGTGAGGGGTCACACCCACTGACCAGGTGGGGGGGGGGGCAACATGGGAACTTCAGAGGGGGCTTCAGTACCTTTTCCATTCTGTTTCTTTCACTCACTTCACATTCCCTTTGGGACACAACATTTCCCGAGGGGAGGGACGATCACTACCCATGAGGGACTAACCATTATCCCATCATGCACGGGCGTGATTGCGTTTTGGGGGACCCATGTTACGAGTAGATTTGTTCCCATGCTTTTAACCATCCTTCATTTTAAACAATTTCAATGACTTTCTTCTATCGTTCAGCACAATCAGAGCATGCGTTATCTTTCATGTCCTTTCTACAGCTCAGTACTGAATACATTATTCCTTTCTTGCGGTGGCAGAGGTTGAAATCCACAATTAATATCGACACCAGTATCACAGATAGAACAAGCGCGACCAGGAATACTTTTGGTGAAGCAATATAAATCAATACACCGCTTTCTGACTCTGAAATGAAATTGGAAAAGTAATGTTAGGTTATAGTTGCTAAGCATTAATCTCAGGAATGATACAGTATAAAAACTAATCTAAACTAACTTTATTTATGCTGGATAGTTTTATCCGTTTCCAAACCAACAACCTGTTTCCAGTTGATATCCAGTTGCGGCACCCACACAATTGTCAACAATGTTGTTACATCATTGGTCAGTTGTAACAATGTTGTTACATCATTGGTCAGTTGTAACAATGTTACATCATTGGTCAGTTGTAACAATGTTGTTGCATCATTGGTCAGTTGTAACAATGTTGTTACATCATTGGTCAGTTGTAACAATGTTGTTACATCATTGGTCAGTTGTTACAATGTTGTTACATCATTAGTCAGTTGTAACAATGTTACATCATTAGTCAGTTGTAACAATGTTGTTGCATCATTGGTCAGTTGTAACAATGTTGTTACATCATTGGTCAGTTGTAACAATGTTGTTACATCATTGGTCAGTTGTAATAATGTTGTTACATCATTGATCAGTTGTTACAATGTTGTTACATCATTGGTCAGTTGTAACAATGTTACATCATTGGTCAGTTGTAACAATGTTGTTGCATCATTGGTCAGTTGTAACAATGTTGTTACATCATTGGTCAGTTGTAACAATGTTGTTACATCATTGCTCAGTTGTAACAATGATGTTACATCATTGGTCAGTTGTAACAATGTTGTTACATCATTGCTCAATTGTAACAATGCTGTAACAATATTGTGGACAACTTGTTCTTAGGGTGCAGCATGCAATTTTGTTCAAGCCTGTCGATATCAACCGGGAACAGGTTGTCGTTTTTACGCGTGGATATCTAAACAAATTATTTTATTGAAAAGGAGCGTATAATGTTTTCACATTCTAAAACATGGTGTTTACCTGAATCCTGTGTCTCTTTAATCTTTAAAGATGACGGAGACGTTGTGTTTAGGTTTTTAACACTCGTCCGGCTGAGCTTCACCATTGTTGATTGTTTTCGATACGGCCAACAATCCGTGTCGTTTTTGATCGATATATCTTTAACAGCTCCCGAGTACTTCGTTGTTTTCATGTTCGTATACTTTGTGGTATTAATACAACCAGGCAAGCATTGATTAAAGAAGATATACCGCTGATCTTGGACAATCGCAGTCAGTCCGCTATAGGGATTAAGCATATGGCGCGGTTGAGGCTTGCTACAGAATGATGATGGGCTGCAATTTCTCAGATTCTCTGGATTGTTAGGTAGTTTTGCCTTGAATTCAGTTTCGTTCACTAAATAGAAGAGATTTATAGTTCACTTCTCTGCCAAGTTATTTATTACACGTTGTAACAATGTTGTTGTGAAGCCGATATCAGGAGGTGTTCGCACTGCTTGTTCCCAGTTGTTGTAATATGTCTTGAACAAGTTTTTATCGTTTTGTTACAAGGTTGATGACGGTAACAAACTAACTGCAATTTGTTGGAATAAATCAAAACGCTTACCTTCGTTAGAAACAAGATCAGTCTTGTGCAACTTGTTAATCTCAATCGGTGTGACATTACGACATACACACGAAATATGGTCGTACACGACATATTTATAAAATTTTGTTTGATTGTTGATATCTGTTACTACAATTTCTATTTCTTTCTGCGTTAAAGCAACGGGCATGGCAATGGATGTGCTCCGACAAGCTTTGATGGCGATGTTAATGGAACTGCTCCAACAAGCTTTGATGCAGCGATGTACTTTGATAAAGTACGGTTCTCTTGACTCAGGCGTTGTAAAATCGTCGTTGTAAATTGACACGACTTCCTCATACAAATCATCATCTGAGTCTAAAAATTAAAATTTAGAAATTTGTTACCGAGGTATTTTGCACTACTCATGATTGACCATTACACAATATTGGAAATATAGATGACAGTGGTCAGTACACGTGTCTAGCGAGGTTCGATTCCTGCAACATATAGAGTCGTCTGTATAATTTTACCTCGCATGTGAGAAGAATACTTCCAGTTTGAGGGTTTTTACAGATGGTATATAATATATGGAAAATTCGAGGGCAAGGTTATATACAATTTTCACACCTAACCAGGGCAGCTGCGGAAAATGCGACTATAATCCCTCTTGTAGGAATCGAACCTGGGGCCCTGCTGTTCTGGTGCAGCGCTCTAACCAAGTGAGCTACAGAGTCCAGTTGACAAGAATTAACCACAAGTTCATGTGTTGTTATCCTTACTGGACCTCTAGGAAGAACAGTTTAGAACTGATAGAGCTATCCAGTATAAATAAATTTAGTTTAGTTTTGGTTTCTTCCTGTAGTAACACTGGATCAATAAGGAATGATTCTTACTGGACCTCTATAGGGTGAACAGTTTAGAACTGATAGAGCTATCCAGTATAAATAAAGTTTAACTTAGTTTTGTTTAGGTTTCCTCCTGTAGTAACACTGGATCAATAAGAGATGATCTTTACTACACCTCTAGGGAGAACAGTTTAGAACTGATGGAGCTATCCAGTATAAATAAAGTTAGTTTGGATCAATAAGGGATGATCCTTATTGGACCTCTAGGGAGAACAGTTTTGATGGAGCTATCCAGTGTGTGGATAAAGTTAGTTCAGGTTTCTCCCTGTATAGTAGCACTGCATGATGTCTGGACCATTACGGGTGGTCTCCATGCGGAACGTCAGTTTCGAATTGGTGTAGAGTTATCCAGTAAAGTTATTGTTACACTACACTTACTTTCATTTGGCCTGTATTCCTGGCCGTTCACAAAACCTTGCAAAAGTAAAGCCATCAAGAAATACTGTCCAGCAATATATTTCAAGTTCAAAATGCTTCCAAAATCTAAAAGATGAGAAAGCTCGGTATCAATGAATATGTATTTTTAGCCTGCCCTCTCAACACCTTGTTCGTAAAGTAAATGCATTCAACGTTAAAATGTCACATAATATATAATCGGATATATTTGAAGAACAAGAAAGCGTTTATTATCGGCGTATAAATGACCAAAGTGTGTTAAAAACGAGGTGCTAGCCGAGTCTTGTTCACATACTTTGAGGTATTTTATACGCCGGTTATAAACGTTTTCTTGTTTACCATGACTCACGAGTTTTGTACTTCCTGCACAGATCAAAGTTCAAGGACGTAATTAGGGAATTCATTACGGAGTTTTGTATAAAGAAAATATTTGCGTTGGCCCTCCACACAGCGAGAGTTAACTGCATGTGTAGTTAAATAACGTACATATAGTACTATTTCATATAAATGCAGTACTACAATGCTATACGTAATAAATAAGCACATTGTAAATATTTCTTCATTCTGAGATAGCCTTCGGAGACACACAGTAGCCTAGGTAGTAGTGTAAGGCCCGTTTGTTACTATAGGCGAATTGCTTTGCCCGAATCGACTTTTCGGCAGCGCTTATCACGTTTGTAAAAGTCACTTGACGCGAAAAAAATTCGCCAAGCCGTACCTCCTACGCATGTCGTAATGATTCTCTGATCTTGTGACGTAAGGCAGGGGAAAGGCATTACTTCATTCGTATGATTTACCGGAAGTTTTTATTTCATGCAAAAAATGAACCCACGATAACGATTAACGATAGTTTTACTGATATAGCTGGGTATGACTAAGCGTTATCATGCAATAGATGGTGGTCAACCTGCAGTTATTCAGAGTGAGAAAATAATGTTCATTCTTTTCATGTTTTAATGTTTTAATAGGATTCGGCAACAACCTAAAAATACAACAATGTAGTGCCAGGGAGTTCGCCACAGTTCCCCCAATTACGGCGATCCCTTAATTAATATTTACATAAAAATTACGTTCAAATAACTTCCCTTAACGAAACAGACAAAGTAGAACAACACAATTACAAAACGGCTAAACTGACAACTAATAACAGTTTAAAACACCATCAAGGGATGTAGCCCTTTTACATTTAACACAGACAGATTTCCAAGTTCGAGGATCGTTACAGTTATACGTGTACGATAATGCGTTCTTATAATACAATTTCAGTCCTGATTTAAAAGCATAAAAACCAATATTTCTGTCTCGAAGGTTATCACTTAGGATGTTCAAGGTTTTACAAGCTCTAATAAAATACGAGGGCTGGAACGTTACAGTTTTGGCAGAAGGTATTAAGAATTTAATTCGATTGTCATTAGTTTTACTTCTGGTGATTCCTGATCCTGATATAACCGCGGTCGAGCACTGTAGTCAATATATGTATAATTGTTAATGATTTTATAGAGTAGGAATATATCCAGGTATTCGTGCCAGTAAGTTATGGGTAGTAGATCTAGGTTATATAGCCTTGTTGGATACGGTATGTTTGTGACAAACCCAAGATTAAGAATAAATTTGGTTGCTCTTCTCTGCACCTTTTCACTATATGTAGTAGTCTTGTATTTAGTGGCAAATAAATAAAGTTGAGAGATGTAGTTTAATTTTCATGCTCGTGTCAACATTTTTGAAGTTGACCATCATGCTGCCCAGTAACGCTTATTGAAACCTATACCAGTATTGGTAATTAATGCATGATATCAAATTGTTACAATTGTATTTTTCACTTACCCATTCTTTATTTTTGAAACAGATTTCTTGATTTGAAGAGATTTCAAAGATTCTCAAGATCGAGTCGAAGGTAAATTGTTACTTAACGTTTCTGTATGTCACTTTACTGTTTGCGAGCTTGTTCAATTGTGCATGCTTGTTAGCTATCGCCGCCTGCTTTTATAAGGCTTCCCATTTGGAGTTTAAAATAGAGAAATGACTGTGGTCTACCACACTCTCTTGTTTTAGAGAGTTTAATTAACCTATCGAGAAATTCTTACAGGTACCAGCACCTTCGAAGACATTCTCTACCTTCAGGCGCGGATGTCTAATAACTTATCACGGCTTTGTTTGTGAATTGTGTGGGCTCAAGTAGCCGACATTCTGCGGAGACTTGTTCTCAGTAAAAGAAACTACACATTTAATTGCTCTATAGCCTCAAATGTTAGTGTAGCGGTTATTATACCGTTTCATTACTTGCATAGTTGAGGCCAGGAGAAATATAATAGGTATTTTTCGGAACATACCATCACGTATGTGTAGAACTTAAATTAAGTTGAAATTCATTTTATTGGGCTGAATGTATAATTGGGTATATTAATCCGTCTATAATGTGATTACTCCTCATGCGGCCGGCGGAATATACAGGTCTTAGGTCTAGCTAATTTCACAAAAGCGCTTTTCCTAACATTGCGAACTTTGGCGAAACGAGGCCTCTCCCTCGTCTGAAAATTTAGCATCGTGGGTGGGGAATAACACATTCAATGTATAGTTAATATAAAATCCATCGCCTTTGTGTTTGCTAGTATATAAAGGTGCTTTGTATTTACTAGTATCTACAGCACACTTCCAGACAAAGGTCCTTTGCTAACTTACTAGGTGGCTGATATCTAATGGATAAGATATGTACAAAGTTAAAGGAAGCGATTACACGGGTAGTTCACGCTCAAGCCAACTGGCGATCATCAGCCTAGGCCCAATAGCCCATCAGGCTCGCAGCAAATTGAGCAATTCAATGTTGTGGGTTGTTTATTGTTGAAACAGTATGTTGTATTCATGTACGCTCTATTCATATGTACTCATGCATGAGTCATGCATGTACGACATTTGTTAATGTTCTGCAGCAATACCAAGCTCATCAATATTAGAGTAAATTTTATAAATAATCCCGTAAAGTAAATTCTTCGTTCTCTTCATTTAATCAAGATATTTTTACTTTAATGTCTATGGAGGGCAAAGCAATTATGACTCTAGTTGCAAAATATTGTTACGGTGTTCGAACAATTTTTGAAACTCATTTAAAGTAGTCTATCACTATTAGTTTGTTTCTTACTAATGTATTCTTGTGATTTTTCTGGTATATATCTACCTGTACCGAAACTGGTATTTTTCGCACATGCTAAGAAAGTAGAATTCGAACATTTAGCCGACCCTTGACTTTGTGCAAGGTGTTTGATATTCAAATTACACTTTTCCTACCTCCTGAACAGGCGTCTTAGGGGCTGTTCGCATGATGGAGGCAGGGCGATTTTGATGTAAATATTGAAATATTAGTCACCAGGTAAAAGAAAGTTCAAATGCTGGTGAACAGATCTCAAATGTTGTAGAGAAGATCGTGTGGTTCAAGAAGGTTATTATGCTTGAACAACCTTTCATTTACAGTTAATTATAATCCATCTCTAGAAAATAATGAAGTTTTTTGCTGAATTATGCACTGTGACTTATTTCAGCACATTGAAATCATCCTGCTTCATATATATCCTGGCAAAGTGGGATCATATAAAGAGACCCTTATTCAGCAAATTGCGCATGCTGCTTTTCATCCCTTGGGGCGAGGCAGCATTTCCTTCCGATAGTAACTTCTAGTTGTAGTGTGTAGGCAAGTAACGAATGTTTAATAAGCCTATTGTATACGCAATAGATATTATATGGACTTGAAGATTTAGTTAAGCCATGCAAGCATGTTTACATGTTGACTAACGGCAGGTGACTTTAACTCCTCAAAGGCAAAAACCTCGGCCAACAATGGGTTAAAATACTATGCAACATTCCTGTAATCGATGCCGATGGTACTTTGAATCAGGCGTACACATTTGTCTAAAGCCTAGTAAAGGCTGCTCTCCAGTCACGTGTTTTTCATACATGCATCTGATACGCACAGAAAAGTTTTTAAACTCTTAGTTTTAAACTCTTAGTTTAAAAAAGTTTTTAAACTGTTAGTTTAGAAAAGTTTTTAAACTCTTGGTTTTAAACTCTTAGTTTAAAAAAGTTTTTAAACTATTAGTTTAGAAAAGTTTTTAAACTCTTTGTTTTAAACTCTTATTTTTTAAGTTCTTAGCAAGCAGGAAACTGAATCACACAAGGCAAACATGAAATGCAGACTCAACGTCATGATCAATTCGAAATTGAATTTGAATTTATTAATTGACATTCCCTAAGATGGGCTTTTCAATGACAATTTACATGGATTTTAGAAGTAATTATGAGTTATTGAAAATTTTAATTGTTACATTTGTATCCTAAAAACCTTCTCAAATTTAACACTAGTATGAGTTACCTCTACAAATGCACATTAAATCATTCACAAAACTATATGCTTTCCTTTTATTCATTCAGTTATTTCATAAGTAACATTTAAAAAGATTTAAACTTTTCTCTGCGTATGTACACATGTATGAAAAACGCGTGACTGGAGAGAGTTTTAAATCCTTTTTGTCCGATTTAAAATACAAATTTTTAACCAGTGAACGTTTGAAACTCTTATTATGAATCCTGGTTTCGCATCTATAACATCTTTAGGGTACTGCAAATGTGACAATTAAATTTTCAATAACTCATAATTTCTTCTAAAATCCATGTAAATTGTCATTGAAAAGCCCATTTTAGGGAATGTCGATTTAGACTGCGAGCGGTCCCGCCTTTCCGCGGGTTTAGATTTCTGGGCACGAGAAAGGAGAGGAGGGACTGCAGACAACACATCAAGAAATGAAATCGCGTTGCCCACACAACACAAAATTCCCATTGGTCGAAATCGATACGCCTGTCAATCAAATCTGATATGTAGTAATTATGCTATAAATAATTTCCAGAGTGAATAGTAATGTTTATGCAAAGGCGGAGCCAATTTGACAAGAGCGAAAAGTGGGCGTATTTCGTTTCTTCATGTGTTGTCGGCAGTCCCTCATTTCTTCGAGGTACTGCTCGCGGTCTAATGTCGATTAATAAATTCAAATT